ACCACTTGGTACTTGAGGCGGAGGTTTCTAACCCTAAACCCTCAATATCTGAATCAGGATGAGCTGCGTACGCGAGGGTTTACAGCTAGGGTTTAGGGTTTAGGGTTAAAGGGTTCAGAGGCCATTTCTCTGCGCATGAATCAGCTGCTTTGATTTGTGTTTGGCGTTGGCTGGCTATTCAGCTGCTCAGGGTTTAGGGTTTGTTAGGGTTTAGGGTTTAGGGTTTAGGGTTTAGGGTTTAGGGTTTGGGCGCGCAGGGTTTTGCCGGGAAGTGTGTGCCTGGAACTTGAAGAACTATCAGGCGTGGTTTCACCGGCGGTGGCTGTTTGACAAGCTCTATTCTGCTGCTGCTGCTGCTGCTCCTGCTGCTCCTGCTGCTGCAGCAGCAGCAGCAGCAGCAGCAAACGACCTGTTCCAGGAGGAGTGCAGCAGCTTGAAAGCAGCAATTGCCAAAGACCCCAAAAACTACAATTCGTGGGCCCACAGGTCGGGCCTTTTTATTTATTATTTAATTTATTTAATTAGTTCAATTAATCAATTAAATTTGTTAACCTAATTGATTAATTAAATTAATTAATTAATTTAACTAATTTACTTGATTAATTAATTAATTATTTTAACTTCTGCGTCTTTTACTGGGTCTTTTTGCTCCTTCTCTTCCCCATCATTTCCCATTTATTAATCACAGATTAAAACTTATTTATTTACTTATTCATTATTTATCAATTGATTATTTATTATTTATTTATTTATTTATTATTTATTTATTTATTTATTATTTGTTTATTTATTTATTTTTTATTTTGTTTTGCTGCAGAGCCCACCTGGTGCGGCGGTTTCCGGTGTCTGTACACCAGGAGCTGCAGGACACGGAGCTGCTGCTGCAAACAGATCCTTCCAACAACTCCGCCTATGCCCACATTTTCCTCCTCACCAAACTCCTTATTCAGCAGCAGCAGCAGCAGCAGCAGCAGCAGGAGCGGCGGCAGCAGCAGCAGCAGCAGCAGCAGCAGCAGCAGCAGCAGCAGCAGCAGGAGCGGCAGCAGCAGCAGCAGGAGCAGTGGCAGCAGGAAGTGGCTGTGTGGGCGCAAACGATAAAGTGAGCTGTTGCCCTTCGAATTTGGAGTTGCACTTTCCGAGCGAGGGTTTAGGGTTTAGGGTTTAGGGTTTTGCTTTTCAGGCGTTACACTCCCGCCTTTGAGCGCCAGCCTTCGAACGAGAGTTTAGTCCGGTTTCTTCTGGGGTGTTTGAAGGCAGCAGCAGCAGCAGCACAGCAGCAGCAGCAGCAGCCCGAGGAGCTGCAGGAAGCAGCAGAAGTGCTGCTGACAGCAGCAGCAGCAGCAGCAACAGCAGACGGCGCGCAGCGGCTGGGGCTTGAAGTGGGGGTGGCTGTGGATGAGCTGCAGCGCAACTTTGCTGCTGCTAAAGAGGTCCGAATAAATTAATTTTTAGTAAATGAATAAATAATTTCATTTGTCAAATTAATTGTCTAATTCTAATCAGTTATTTTAAATTTGCTGCTGCTGCTGCTGCTGCTGCAGAAGTGCGCACTTTTGAAAGTAGCAGATCCAATTCGCCGCTTTTACTGGTCTTGGAAAGCTCTCACCAACGCCCGAAGAAGTCTGTCTATACACCTCGTGCAGTAGCTGCTGCTGCTGCTGGAGCAGCAGCAACGGGGCGAGGGGCTGCGCAGCAGGTGCAACATGCTAGCTGCTGCAGCAGCAGCAACAGGACTCGCGGTGCTGCTGCCTTTCTCAATTTTGCCAGTTTCCCGCAGCCGTAGGGGCAGCAAACAATAGAAGCTGCGCAGCAGCAGCCATTACCTGCAGCAGCAGCAATTCAGCGACTAGTTGCTGCAGCAGCAGCAACCACCAGCTGCAGCAGCAACAATTACCCGCTGCAGCGCCAGCAGCAACAATTAGCAGCTGCTGCGGTGGCAGCAGCAGGACCCCGGGATGCGGGCCTGCGGCCCTCCCCACCCACAGGCTCGCAACTAGACCTAGAGAGTCCAGCAATTTACAATCCACAAGTGCATTTATACATTTGAACCACATTCGTATTTGTTCATTCACTTCCGAATCGGACGCAGACTCGACTGCATGCAGAATCGCGCGGAGAACCCGCGTTTCAGCACAACGAGCCAGTTCTAGAGCACTAAACTCTGGCTAGAAGGGCAAAACTGCTGCTAAAACAGTAAAGCTCCCCCTAAAACAGTAGGACTCCTTCTAGAGGAGAAGGCCCCGCCCGGAGGCCTGGAAAGCGGCGTGCGGAGGGAAGCGCGCGCGGTGTACGTACACCGCGGCCACACTACGGAGGCGCGGAGCGAAGTGGAGGCACTAACCTGCGCCGAAGCGCGGCAGTTGACTAAAGAGAAAGCAAAAGAAAGCGCGAAGGCGCAAGTCCCGCGCTGCGCCGCGCAGCTGCGCCCGCGCCGCGGCGGCCGCCGCCCCGCAGCAGCAGCAGCAGCAGCAGCAGCAGCAGCAGCAGCAAACGCATCAGAGCTCCTTGCAGGCGACGATCTTCTCCTTGCCGCAGGCCGCGAGGACGCTGACGAGAACGCCCTTGCCCTCCTGGAAGAGGCTCTTGACCTGCAGCGCAACCTCGTCGAGGTTGCCGTCGGAGTCCTTGGGCAGCGTCAAGTCGCTCTTCAAGTCGCCGTTGTCCAGCAGCAAAGACACGAAGCCGTCGTCGGAAACGTCGATAAGCTGGAACTCAGAACGCTTCACGTTCGGCACCTCCATGTTGTGCGAAGTGGGGCAAATGTCTTCGTACTTTTTGCCGGTGAAGATGTCGAGGCCGACGATGTGGGCCTTCGCGTGGCCGTGTTTGCCCGTCTTCGACGTCGAGTAGTCCACCACTTTGCAGGGGTTGCCTTTCAGCATGCAGAAGCCGTTTTTTTTGATTGCGCCGGCCTGCTGCGGGTACGTCAGCGACGCGCCCGCGTCCGCGCGTTCGAAGCTCACCTCTTCCGCGTCCGACATCGCTGCAGCAGCAGCAGCAGCAGCAGCAGCAGCAGGGGGCAGCAGGGCAGGGGGAGGAGAGGCAGTTCTGGGGGGGGCGTCGCTGCTGCTCCGCGAGCTGCTGCGCCGCCTGCTGCGCCAGCCCCGCACGGGGGGAGTTGCGGGCCGCCGCGGCTGCTGCTGCTGCTCCCGCCCCGCCCCGCGCCCCGCACGTCCGCTCCCGCTGCTGCTGCTCCGGCTCCTGCTGCTGCTCTTTAGCTTCGCTTTAGAGCTTTTCTCCCTTTTCCCCGCTTTTCGCCGCCGGACCGCCCCGCAGCTCCTGCTGCGCCCGCCCCGCAGCCGCGCCCCCGCGCCCCCGCAGCACCCGTAGCAGCAGCAGCAGCCGCCGCGCCCTGCGGCGCCCCTCCCTGCTCCTGCTGCACCTGCGGAGTCCGTTTGCTGCTTCTCTTCTTCTCCGCGCTTCGCAGTTTTAGTGCACAACTCTTAACGGCCTCCAACGCGCAAGCTCGCCAGTGCGCCTCTCAGAACCCGCCGGCGCGCCCCCTTCGCGGGGGCTCCGCTGCTGCTGCTGCTGCTGCTGCGCCCTGCTGCTTCCTCCCGCTGCTGTCCAGCTGCCGCGCAAAGCGCCTCCCGATACGCGAAAATAACGCTTTTAGCTTTTTAATTTTGCGTTTTAGTGTTTTAAAACACTCCCCACTACTTAACTCCTCGTACGCACACGCGCACGCAACCAGTGCTGCAGCTCCACCTCAGGCAGCACGGACGGCCGCGGGCGCTACAACCGCCGCTGCTGCTGCTGCTTCTGCTGCTGTTGTTGCTTTTGTTATTGTTTGACCTGCAGCAGCAGCAACAACACCTGAAGCTGCAGCTGCCGCAGCAGCAGCTGCGGCCGTGGCGGTGGCGGCAAAGCCGCCATGGCGGCCGACAGCTCCCTGCTGCAGCTGGAGCAGCTCCTGGGAGGAGCAGCAGCGTCGACTGCTGCTGCTGCAACCACAAGCAGCAGCAGCAGCAGCGGGGGCCCTGCTGCTGTGCTCACGAAGGAAGCAGCACGCAGCGCCGCCATTGCAGCAGCAGCGCAGGCCACGGCTCTCTCCCAACGCTGCCAGTCTTTGCTGCCTCTCCTCAAACAAGCTGCTGAACACAACACAGACAGCAGCAGCAGCAGCAGCAGCAGCACCGACGCTAGCTCGGCTACCCCCAGCAGCAGTAGCAGCAGAGGCGACGCTGCTGCTGCCAGCAACGCCCTCTTGTTAGAGTTAGATTCTGACGCCGAGGGCCCTGTGGTGGAACTGGGTGGGCCTTCGCAAGTTGCCGCTGCTGCTGTTTCCTGCTGCTGCTGCTGCTGCTGTTTCCTGCTGTTTTGCCCCAGCTCTGCTTCCTAGGCGCGTCCCGTGCAACTTTTCGTGGCTGCTGCCGCTGCTGCTGCTGCTAGTGATTGTGAATTGCTGCTGCATTTTTCGGCTCCAAACTATTTTAATAAATTGTCTTTACTTATTGTTACTTGTTGAATGTTTTGCTGCAAACCGATGGCCAAGCCAACCTGCTACTGCTGCTGCTGCTGCTGCTTTTAATCTTATTCTCTCTTGTGTCTCCTCCATTGCTGTCCAGTATCCGTAGCAGTACCTGTGACTACGAGCTGCTGCTGCTGGTGCTGCTGCAACTGAGTGCCGCTGCAGCGTTCTGCTGCTGCAACTTGCTACTGCTGCAGCTTGCAGCAGCAGCGAGCTGAACCTTGCCGCTGCTTCATGTTGCTGCTGCTGCTGCTGCGTTTGCTGCTGCTGCTGCTGCCAGACGTGGGCGTGGGGGTCTTCGAAGTGAAGGGGCAGCTGCCCCCAGACTCTCGGCTGCAGCAGATGGGCGTCGCCCTCGTCGATTTGCCTGAAGGGCCTTCACCGCACCAAGTAACGCTGCTGCTGCTGCTGCTGCTGCTCCTGTTGCTGCTGCTGCTGCTAGTTGTGCTGCTCAAGATGCTGCTACCACTGCTGCTGCTACTCCGCCGTTGCAACTCATGCTACTGCTGCTGCTGCTACTGACACTGCTGCTGCTGCTACCACTGACGCTGCTGCTACCACTGACGCTGCTGCGTTGCTACGGACACTGCTGCTGCTGCTGACGCTGCTGCTGCTGCTGCTGCTTTGCTTTCTTGCATGCAGGACTCTGCTGCGGCGGGTCCCCCCTTGGACGCCCTGCAGCGCGCGCTGGCGGCGCGGCAGCAGCAGACCTGCTGCAGCAACGGCGGCAGACCAGTGGTCACGGTCCTCTCTAGCGGCAGCAGCAGCAGCAGCAGCAGCAGCGAAGGGGAAGACAGCGACGAGGCTCCTAATGGCTAGTTGCCTGGAACCCACGGCTGCGTGCGAAACCCTAAACCCTAAACCCTAAACCCTATTTAAATAGGTAGAAGCCATTCGCAATTGGCTCACCGCGGTTGGGGCAGCTGCACGCATGCGGCGCATGCCGGGTGTCTAGACAGTGCGTCTCGCGCAGCAGCAGCAGCAGCACCGGCAGCAGCAGCACCCACTGCAGCGGGGGGCTTTTGAAATGGAAACTGGCTTTGAGTGGGAACCGACGCACTCTAAGTTTAGAGGACACTCAGGCTTCCTGCTGCTGCTGCAGCGCAGCAGCAGCAGCTGCTGCCCTTCAGTCCAGCCAAAGTGGCCACAGTTCAAAAGCAGGATATGTACATAATACAGATAGAGGGCACAAGCTTATGGATTGCTGCTGCTGCAGCGCAGCAGCAGCTGATGCTACAGCGCAGCAGCAGCTGATGCTGCAGCGCAGCAGCAGCTGATGCTGCAGCGCAGCAGCAGCAGCTGCTGCCCTTCAGTCCAGCCAAAGTGGCCACATTTCAAAAGCAGGATATGTACATAATACAGAAACAGAGGGCACAAGCTTATGGATTGTGCATATATATATACCGCAGTATAATAAATCTAATTTTCATATATTTTATGAAAATTAGATTTATTCAATTTATTAGATATGTAGTGCATGCGCATGCATAACAGAGCGCAGTAGTGCATCAGCTCGTCGAGAGGACGAGCTGATGCAGAGGCAGCGTCGCTGCTGATCCGCCAGACCTGTAGCTGTGTTGTTGTTGCTGCTGCTGCTGCTGCGTCGCGCCTGGAGGCCCCAGGCGATGCAGCGGGAAGCAAAGAAAGATGAATCTAATTTGCTTTTGGCAGCCGCAATAAGCAAATTGGATTTTCCTCTTTTCGCTTTCTGAAAAGGAATGTTTTATTTGGGCACTGGGTTGAGCCACTGGCCGCCCTGGCCGTAGGCGGCGGCGACGAGTTGGGCGGCTGCAGACTCGCAGACAGCGGAAAGCTGAAATTGAATTTTAGGTTTTCGTTTTTGGGGACAAAGGAGAGCTGAAAAGGGAATTTCGGGAAGCTGGAGACGCAAATAATTCAAACGTACTTTTCTTTTGCTTTCGAACCATGTACGTCATGTGCCAAACCTTGTAAGTGCCGTAGAACACAAGTCCCATGCCCAGGGGGTTCGCCCACCACCAGCGGCGGTATTCGGATCTGAAAAGAAAAAGAAGAAAACAATTCAAAAAGGAAAATAGTGGCGACAAAGAAATAATAAACCCGTTCAATCGCAACACAAGAATGAGAATTCTGTCAAAAAACTTCAAACGCGCAGCCGCCAGCAAAATAAAAGAAGTGATCGAAGCTGGGTGAGAGAATCGGCGCAGGGGGGGCTGAGGTGTACGTACACCTGAAGCTGCACGGCGGGCGCCACCGGGAAAGCTGAACGAAAAGCCTTTTTGCAAAAGGAATAAACTCACGTGCGAGATATTTGTGCAAATTGTTTATTTGTCCAGAGCATCATTTGCTGAGCGACGTCGGAGAACTGCTTTCCTTCGAGCTGCCGCCACTGGCGACGCCACTGGGCGGGGTTGATGGCGCGCCCGGCCATTGCAATGTAGCTTTGGAAGTGAAATCCCATTTTCTTTTCTTTCTTCCAGATCTTTTATTATTTCAAAACATTCGCAAAAGAAAAAATCCCAACAGCTGCAGCACACGGCCCCAACTCGGCGAAGCCTCTGCTCGCCGCCTCGACTTGCAGCAGCAGCTTCCTCTCTGCTACGAAAACAGCAGCAGCAGCAACGCCCAGCGACGGAAATTCAATATTTAATTCTTCTCGCGGACGAAGGGGCCCCAAAGCCCCAATTTGCTGCTGCTGCTGCTGCTGCTGCATGCAGGGCAGGCGCAGCCGACGCATGCAGGGGCCCTCTTCTGCTGCTCCTTGTTTGAAGGTGCGGAGTAAGCAACTGGAACACAAGAACATTAGCAGCAAATAAAGGTAATTGCAAAAAGAAATGTTTAAATAAAAGGTTTTAACTCCCGAATCCCGAACTTGAATTATAATTGGACTGCTGCTGCTGCGCCACATGCATGCAGCAGCAGCAGCAGCCCTGGGAAAAGAATAAACTCTTTTCGCTGCTGCGCTTCTGTGGGGCTCCAGATTGACATTTTAATTAATTTAAAATTAGTTAAATTAAAGGCTGAAGCAGATTTTGAGTAGAGAGTAAGGCTTTCGAAGCATTGCAGATATATACATACAAGTAGTGCATAATGTATCTCGTATATACATATATATATTATATATATATGAGATAGCATATATAATTTATATATAAATATATAATTGATATTTATATGCATATATGATTGATATATATATATATATAAGTATATATAATAGATATATATGTATATATAATTGATACATATAACATACATAAATGTATATATATGTAATTGATATATATATATATAAGTGTGTATAAATGTATATGTAATTGATAATACATTTAAAGTTTATTGAAAAAACTGCATCGAATACTTTGTACATAACATACATGCATATACACACAATTATATATGTGTATTTATTTATTTATTTATATTTTGCAAGTTATAAATAATAAATAGCTTTGCAAAGAAGTTACTAATCTTATTTATAGATAAGGATCAGTATATGGATTTGTATGAATGCATGCATTGGCTGCATGCGTTGGCTGCATGCGTTTTTGTGCATTATTAGATAAGCAGACAGATATCTTTAATGCATTTAAGAGCATTTATATATTTATATTTACTTGTCTGCATTTATAGACAAATAAATGAAAGTAAAATAAATGAAGTGAGCAAAGAAGCCCTCCTGCATGCATGCAGGTGGGGTGTATGCGCGCTGGGGTGAACGTACACTGGAACTGCGTGGGGTGTACAGGCACATATTTCGCCGCCTCTGCGCTTTGCTGCAACAGCACGAAGCAGAGAAGATATACGCTAAATTAGGGTTTGAGTTAAAAGCTGCTGCTGCTGCATTTGTTCCTCTTGTCCCGCCTTTTTGCAAATGCAATTAAATGCACTTTGGCTCGCGTTAAATCTGCCGACGCGGCCTGGCGGCTCCCTGTGCTGCAGCAGCAGGGCCGCAGCAGCTGCAGCAGCAGCTGCAGCAGCCGCTGCAGCTGCTGAAGCAGCAACAGCTGCTGCTGTTGCTTCTATCCCTGTGAGCAGCAGCAGGAGCCGCTGCTCACGGTGTGCCATTGTGTTTGCAGTTTGTCTCCAAACAGCGTTTGGAGTTTAGGGTTTAGGGTTTAGGGTTTTAGGGTTTGCGGGCTGAAAAGACCATCTAGTACTTCTCTATGTGCAGCAAACCCTTTTGCAGCAAAACGATGCAAACGCAGAAAGCCTCAAAGCCGTCTTGGCAGGGCAAAGACGCCACCTGAGCAGCAGCAGCAGCAAATACAGCAGCAGCAGCAGCAAGTACAGCAGCAGCAGCAGCAAATACAGCAGCAGCAGCAAAGACAGCAGCAGCAACAAAGACAGCAGCAGCAACAAAGACAGCAGCAGCAGCAGCTTAAATATGAATGTGCATACGAAATGAGGACAATAAAGGGACCAAATGTCACAAGAAAGAAAAGGAAAAAAGGGAATAAAAATAAAAAGAAGTGAATTTTACAAAAGGGAAACTGGAACATCAAAGATTCAGCACGGGCAATGACATTCAATGCTTGTCATTTTCTTTGAAACCTCTTTACAATATTTTTATTTGTCTTTGAATTGCAAATATTATTATTATTATTATTGTTATAACTATTATTATTATTATTATTAAAATGGCATTATTAATATCTTTAAATTTCATTTAAATGGCATTTGCATTTATGCTTTCCCGGCTTGTTTCGCTCGTTTTCAGCGGCGTTTGTGCAGATTTGTTGGTGATTTTGGGTTTCTCTTTTGCATTTATTTCACAAATTTGATTTCTTTTTCTAAAAACTAATTCATTTGATTTAATTTATTCCTTTTTTGCAAAATTCAAAAAGATCGCCGCAGATTCACCTCGACTGTTCGCCCCTGGGAGAGGGTGTTGATGATGCCGCTGGCGCTGCGGCAGATGGCGAGCCGCAAGCTGCAGCAGGAAGTGAAGAAACACGAGAAGAAATTCAAAATGAATTAAAAATGAATTAAAAACAACAAATAAATAATAAATAATAAATAAATAACAAAGAATAACAAGAAATCGAATCAGATCGGCCCAAATCGATCTCAAACGGCATTTTGCAGAAGCGAAAGATGCGTGCAGATCTCAGGGAATTACTAAATGATTTCGAAATGCAACTTTTCGCAAATTTCTTTTATTTTATTTTCAAAAGCAACAAAGTGCATTCAATGCATGCAATTGCACGCGCATGCAGCTGCGAAGAAAGCCAAATAAATGTTTTTCGGACTTTTGCAAATTCAAGACAAACTTGAATTGAACAAAGGCGCTCGAAAAGGGAATTAAAAGCCTTTTCCCCCGCAAATGGAAATTCAAAAAGTATTTTTATTTATAAAAAATAAATGAAAGTACTTTTTGAAGAAATAAATCAAACAAAGAGGAAAGAATTCATCTAAATGAACTTGAACAGCCGCAGCAAACTGCTGCAGCTCGCTGGCAGCAGATCTGGAGGCAAAAAGACCAAAAAGGAGCTTTAAATGAGTCAAAAATGAAATTATAAATGAATAAATAAATAATTAAATATTAAATAAATAAATATGTATCATTAATTCCTCACGTTGCAGTCCCTCTTGTGAAATTCGCCGTGTCGCTTCCCTCCTCGCATGTGCACCCAATGCCTGCGGACGGAAAAACCCTAAACCCTCGTTTTCAAACTCTAAACCCTCGCTTACAAACCCTAAACCCTTCTTTATAAACCCTAAGCCCTTGTTTAAATACCCTTGACCTTACCTTATCAATCCCTACGAATTGCCCTTGTTTATTTGCCCCAAACCCTCCTTTACAAACCCTAACCCTTGTTTATAAACCCTAGACCCTCATTTATAAACCCTAAACCTCTGTTTATGCACCCTAAACCCTTCTTTATGAATCCTAAATCCTTGTCAACAAACCCTAAACTCCTTTATAAAACCCAAACATTTATTCATAAACCCTAAACCCTCATTATAAACCCTAAACCCTTATTCATAACAGGTTGCAACCCCCTGCATATGAAAACTCCAAACCCTCGAGCCCTTATTCGCAAACCCTAAACCCATTTCGAAACCCTAAACCCTAAACCCCCAAGACAAAAGCAAAAGCTGTGAAAAGTCCCTTAGCGGCTGCAGCAGTCCCTAGCCTGCACGCGGCTGCCGGAGACCTAGGGTTTAGGGTTTAGGGTTTACCATCCTGGAGCCTGATGAGGGAGCGCCAGCGGACGGGGGGCTTGGCAAGAGTCGATTGAGCTGCCTCATACTGAGACTGCTGCATTGTTTCCAAGCTGTGCAGCAGCAGCAGCAGCAGCAGCAGCAACAGCAACAGTAGCAGCAGCAGCAGGTGAGCTCCGGAATTGCGCACAGAAGCCGGCGAAAGGCAGCAGCAGCAGCGAACAGCAACAGCAGCACGCAACTGCGCTGTGCGCAGCAGCAGCAGCAGCAGCAGCAACAGCAGCAGCAGCAGCAGCAGCAGCAGCGCACTCTGCAGCATGTGCCTCGCTGAGAGCCAAAAGGGCCTCATAATTAATTTTTTGAATTATATCTTCCCGCAGCTTTTCTGTCATTTCCTTTTGGTCTTTTTCTGAGGCCGCCACGCGGGCAGTCCCCTTCACACACAAACCCTAAACCCTAAACCCTAAACCCTAAACCCTAAACCCTAAACCGTTGCATAGGCCTTTAGAGCACATTTCAGGCCCCTAAAACGTAAACTTTAGCCGCAAATCCCACACCATTAATCCCAAACCCTAAACCCCAAATCCTAAACCCTAAACCCTAAACCCTAAACCCTAAACCCTTGCCTTCAGAATGGCCTTTCTCGCGTGGAGTTCATTTTCATGCAGCAGCCGGTGTTGCGTTATGAGGCGTTTGATCAGCCGGGACATCATCACGCCCTGACAAATAAATAAAAAAATAAAAAAATTAAAAATAAATAAATAAATAAATAAATAAATAAATAAATTTAATTAATTAATTAATTTAATTAAATTTCAAGTGAAGTCTTAATTTTTTTTTAGAGAGGCGCAGCAAAGACAGACAGAACGACGCGCGCACTCCAAGTGCTGCTGCTGCTGCTGCTGCTGCGGCTGCTGCTGCTGCTAGTGTTTTTTTGGCTGCTTTTGCAGCAGCACCTTGCTGCTGCTGCTGCTGCTGCTGTTCCTTCGTCGAAACTGCAGATGCTTCGACAGCAGCGAGTGTCCCTTAAGCGAGGGTTTACCGTTTAGGGTTTAGGGCTTAGGGTTTAGGGTTTAGGGTTTAGGGCTTAGGGTTTAGGGTTTAGGGTTTAGCTGTACATATGAAAACTCCGCAGTGGGGACTGTAATCGTCAAGTGCAGAGACACTTCGTTTCCGGTGGCAGCCTTGTGCGCCATCCTACACCCAAACAGCGCTAAACCCTAAACCCTAGACCCTAAACCCTAAACCCTAAACTCTAAACCCTAACCTAAGCCCTTCAACCTAGACCCTAAAGCAATAAGCACGCCTTGCTGGCCTCAGTGAGGGTTCTGAACTTCGCCAGGATCGCAAGCTTTGTCACGCCCTGGTGTTTAGGGTTTGGGTAGGGTTTAGGGTTTAGGTAGGGTTTAGGGTTTAGGTAGGGTTTAGGGTTTAGGTAGGGTTTAGGGTTTAGTTAGGGTTTAGGGTTTTGGAAAGGCTACCCTCTGGGTATGTAAAGAATGTCTCCAGCGTTTAAGGTGAAGCTCTCCGTTGGCTCTCCCAGTTCTTCCTGCAGCAGCAGCAGCAGCAGCAGCAGCCCCGGCAGCAGCAGCAGCAGCAGCAGCAGGAACACAATTTCTTCCGTTTTAGCCCGTTTTTGGGACAATTAAGAGCAGCAAAAGGCGCTTTCAAGCCCTTTGAATGCAATTTAACTGGTTTAAATTGAATAAATAAAAGATAAAATAAATAAATAATTAAAAGATAAAATAATAAATAATAAAAATTACGTTAGTCAAAGTTTCCTTTTTTCCCCGCATTTCCGAACCCAAACAAAGCCCGCAGGGAAAGCCAAAAAGCTGCCACTGCTTCCGGCCCCACAGCTGCAGCAAAAAGACATCCTGTTCAGCAGCAGCAGCAGCAAAACGCAAACAAGAACAAATTCGAATTCAAGCAAAACGAACTTAAACGCAGGCAGCAGTGAGCTGCAGCAGTAGCAGCAGCAGCAAAAGCAACGAAAGCCGCAGTAACAGCAGCAAAAGCACCGGCAGCAGCAGCGACAGAAGCAGCAGCAGCAAAAGCACAGGCAGCAGCAGCGACAGAAGCAGCAGCAGCAGCGACAGAAGCAGCAGCAGCAGCAGCAAACGGCGCCGAGAAAGAAAGCGCGAGCTGAAAACCAGCAGCCACTCTCGAAGAAGCAAAAGACGCAAACAAACAGCAGCAGCAGCAGCAGCAGCAGCAGCAGCAGCAGCAGACCTGCGCGTCTGTGTGCGCCCCCACAGTGAAGGAGCGCGGGGGGGTCAAGTAAGCAACAGCAAAAGTGTGCTGCAGCAGCTGCTGCCCCAGCTGCATGCAAAAGCTCTGCAGCAAAGGACAGCCCCGATCAGCTTGGTTTAAAATGTAAGAAGCTCCACTTAAATAAGGCCGCAGCAGCGGCGCCCACACGCATGCAGGGGGCCCCAGGGGGCCCCCCGGGGGGCCCCCCAGGGGGCCCCCCTGAGCACCCCCTTGGGGGCCTCCAGGAGGGCCCCTAGAGGGGCCCCCAGGGGGGCCCCCAGAGGGGCCCCCTTGGGGGCCCCCAGGGGGGCCCCCATGGGGGCCCTCCGGGGGCCCCTCTGCTGACATTTCTACGCTTGGGGGGCACCAGGCTGGGGGCGGCTCTGCAGGGACGGGGGCCCCCTCCTGAAGACAACAAGCTCACATCTAGGGTTTAGGGTTTAGGGTTTAGGGTTTGGAGTGCTGCGGTGTGAAGAGAGGCCCCGAAAGAGTCCGGAGAGGATTAAACCCTCGCAGCATTTGTTGAAGAAGCGTAATTTGCTGCCGAAGTTGAAAGAGACAAAAAACTGTTCTGCTGCTGCTGCTGCTGCTGCAGCGCAGCAAAGCCTAAAGCTCCACATCTATTTATTCATCTTATTTTTTTAATTTAATTTAATTGATTAAACTTGATTGATGAATCTAATTTAATTTAATTTAGTTTATTTATTTTTGTTTCTTCACCTTAAATAAGGCCAAGTTCCCCGCCGCCCAAACGCGATACAGAATTTCGGCGAAGGCAGACTGAAGGCAAAATAAACAAATAAATAAATAAATAAATAAATAAATTAGTTAATTAATTAATTAATTAATAATAATAATAATAATAATAGTAGTAATAATAATAAATTAATTAATATTAGTAGTAAATGGTGGCAAAAGGCAAAACAGAGATAAGGGGCCCTTGTCCCTTAGGGTTTAGGGTTTAGGGTTTAGGGTTT